TTCGATTTTGTAGCATCAACATAGACCTAAATTGATTTAAAGAATCGTTCTTGAATAATTTGGCTGGCACTATTAAATTGAATTTAATTAAGTTGGACTTGTTTTATTTTCATTTTGCTCAAAATTGGTTCTAAAATAAATTTAGAATTTTTTTTATCACACATAAACCGAGAGTTAAAATCTCGAGGCAAGTGCACGCAAATCGAGGCAAAATCGCCCTAGACATGTGGCTGCCAAGGTGCGTGATGGGTTGCCTTGCCTCGTAGAGGCGCTAGTGTGTGTGCAAGTGTAGCACATGGTGCTACAATGTTTGTGCGAGGCTGAGATTGGTGCTATATATGAGCTGTGCGAGAAGCGTGTGCTGTGTGAGTGTGCCTGCAAGTGCTGCTGGGGAGCAAGGTAGCAAGCCCCAGCAAGCCGAGCACACGTTGCAAGCACCAGCACGCACACAAGCATGCGTAGCTTGCTGCGTTGCGTGTGGTGCCAGCAAGCATGGCGTGCTCTACTAGGCAGGCAGGCTAGCACGCTCAGCCACGACACCTAGGGGCAGCAAGGGAGCTATGTTGGGCAGCCCATCACCATAGGCAAGCGAGCCACGACCTTAGTGCCTAGAAGCCTAGCCTCATAGCTTTGATGCTAGGCACTTGGGGCATGTTGTGAGCTATTGTTTTGCGTAATTGGGGCCGTTTTAATTGTTTTATTTAATTATTCTAACGAGGCTAGGCCTCGGTTCTTTCAGCTCTTGCAAAAATATTTTGACAAAATTTGGGTTAACCAACTTAATTAATTTTGTTAATTAAGTTGGATGCGCAATTTAGTGGGAGCTTCGTTAATTTCTTGAACTAATTGCATTTTAATCACATAAAATGGTTAACAACTTTGACTAGTTTTAATTAGGCGCATTAATTGGATTAACCACCTAAGTTAGTTACTAGTTTGCGCGTGTTATGCATTGTTACTTGTTTATCATTGTAAAATGCATGGGCCATTCACATGTAGTGAATGGATGAATGGAATCTATATTGTTTCACAGGTTTTGTTAAAATGGAAACAAGTGGGGCCCGACTAGGATAGTAAATACGAAATGCGATCCGTTATGTTTTTTTTGTAAATCAAAATACGGTCTGCTTACCGTTGCGTATTTTTGTACCTTAATATTTAGATTATTCCTAGTCGTATTAGCTAGTAGATGCATAGTTGACGGAGATGTCTCGAATAAGAAATTTCTATGAATCAAGGGGTCATGGTAGTTTCCAAATGCATCTTATACTTATGATTTATATATATTATGTTTATATATGCTTGAATTGCATGATAGATGCATGGTTAGGGTTTCAAATATTGCGATGATTAATTAAGTTCACTTAAATCAACTAACATAGAAACCCTAGGTCCCTATAATATTGATCCAAATTTGCCATTTTAAAAACGACACTTACCGAACTAATGTGCGTGGTGATGGGATACGCCAAAGCGAGGCATCACCGCTTCCCTAGGAACGTAAGGTATACTAGGTATACAAGTCGTGTTGGTTAAGCTCAACGATATCAGTAAGGACTCCTTAGATGTCGTGGCAATGGAGATAAAATGTCATGGTAGCATTAGATACGACGTTTTATCGAACCAAGAGTATCTTAAAGCTATTAGCAATGGGATTGCTTACCCTAAAATATTAAGTGTTAAGACAAGCCAAAGCATGCTTAATCACATTTTAATTTTTAGGATCTTGGAATCATTTTATTCTCGCCTAAAAGGGACTAATGTTAATGTGTGAATAAAATGCTCGATAAGATTGAAAATTTGCATGTATGCTTTAAATTTAAAACTTATTGGTTTATGAATGGTTTTTCATTTCAAATTCTTTCAATTGTAGAAACATCTCTACAAGAAACTCAAACAACAACTCTATGTGCCTGGAACTCCCCGAAAAGTTTGCTTTTAGCCTTAACTTGGTCAACTTTAAGGAATGGGAAGAGGAATTCTGGAAAAACTCTTCGGAATTGTTCCTTGAAGTACACTCTTGATACTCCCATTCCAAGCGGCTTCTATACGGGAATCATAAGCGATGAGGCTCATGATAACTGGTCTTTCGATTGAAAACAACACTAATGGCTAATTCCATCTTGAAAGATTGGAAGGAAAAGCTCTCCTTCTATTTTCCGGACCTGTTCCTCAAAGAACTTGATGGACGTTATCAAGGTGAGAGTCACCAAGAGTGACAAGTGCAACTATGATGGACTCGTGTTTGATGTGACTAGGTCACTCTCGAACATGAAGACAAAGCCACCGAAAGTGGGTTGTCTTGCTAAGGAGAGGCGCCGACTTTGGTCAAGGGTCTACAATACCAAATTGAGACCCGGTATGCCCTTCCGACCTCATGTGCTTGGAATTACTAGCTGTTCAGACACATGCAGCTTCACTCCACTCGAGCTATGATGCACTTAGAGTGCATATAGCTGCGGGAAAGGAGACACGCTCTTTAAGAAAGGTTGTGCAATTGCCTAACCGAGCCACCTCCTATGGAGAAACCAAAAGGCCCATTGAGAGCAAGGAAGAGGGATTTTAAGAACAAGGCGAAGATGCAATGCTTCTATTATGGTGGGCAAGGCCACTACAAGATGGAATGCAAGCTCTTCCGAAAGGATGAGTAGGAGAGGAATGTTGCATCTGACTTAGGTATCTTCATTTACACTTGTGTATAAATCTGTCCATAGGTATTGGATACTATGTGTAACTCACTTTATGTTTCCTTTTCGGGAACCAAGTTAGAGGGCTTCACAAGTGGATGTGCAACTACGAGCGGACGAGAAAGATGATCTTTCGATCGTGCTTGTAGGCATATATATTTTGTCTATGACTTGTTATTAAGTATTCTTAGTTTCTCATGCTTTTGAACATACTTTTTATCTATGGTGTTGGACACCGGGTTACTTTGATCACAAGACTTAAACAATGGTTGTTTTAAAAATGTCTTTCTTATATGTTATATAAAATTGCATGTTTTACATATGATTAGACAAATTGACGATACTGTTAAAAGAGCTAAGACCATTCAATCGAATCAAACATACTTGTGGCATTGTCATCTTAGCCACATTAACATCAAACACATCAAAAAACTTCTTCCTGGGGGTCTTCTTGACTCATTCGACTTGGAGTCGTTTCAAAATTGCGAAGGATGTCTATTAGGCAAGATGATAAAGCATCCATTCTCCAAGTTGGGAGAAAGAGCTAGTGACTTATTAGGTCCAATACATACGGATGTATGTGGACCAATAATGAGTTCACCTACAAGGAATGGTTGTCGATGATTCATTTACCTTCGCGGACAACTATCGTAGATATGGCTATGTCTACCTTATGTCGAACAAATCTGAATATTTTGAGAAATTCTAAGAGTTTCAGAGTGAAGTTGAAAATCATCTTGGCAAGAAATCAAAACACTTCGATCGGATCGAGGTGGCGAGTATTTGAGCCACGAATTCGACGATCACTTGAAAGAAAATGGTATTATTTCAGAGTTGACACCTCCCGGAACTCCACAATGGAACGGAGGAATCGAACCTTATTAGACATGATTCGATCAATGATGGGTCTTAGTGAACTTTCTATCTCTTTTTGGAGACACACACTTCTAAGTGTGGCACTAACACTGAACCATGCTCCATCAAAAGCTGTCAAAAAGACTCTATATGAATTATGGATGAAGAAACCTCCACGGTTGTCTTTTCTTAAGATTTTGGGTTGCAAAACATATGTCAAGAGATTAATTTATGACAAACTTCACCTAAAATCTGACAAGTGTTTTTTTGTGGGCTACCCGAAAGAAACCAAGGGGTATTACTTCTACCACAAATCCGAGAACAAAGTGTTTGTTGCTCGTGATGGTGTCTTTTTGGAGAAGGAACACCTTTCCAAAATGACAAGTGGGAGGAAAATCGAACTCAACGAAGTTAGAGAGGACAAGCAACAAAGTCAACCTGACAAAACTAACAATCAAAGTGCTTTAGAAGCAGCTAATGACATTGGTCAGAGTCAAACCAACAATGCAAATGCTCAACCTATTACCCTGCTTAGGTCGCAAAGACCAAGATCTCAACCAGACTGATACCTTGGTATTGTCTTTACCGAAGATCAAGACATCTTAATTATGGATGGATATGAGCCAGCGACATACAAACAAGCTATGACGAGCCCCAACTCTGTAAATTGGCAAGTGTAGGGTTTCGTAGTGACCCGACAATACGCGGAAGGAAACACACCAAGACCCGCCCCTTAATTAAAGCAATTAACAAGCATAATAAACTTAATCAAACAAGATTAAGAACAAGAATTATACCTTTGATGCGTGCTTTGCTCCCAAAGAGCTCATACTTCAAAATCCCGAATAGACGAGATCTCCGACGGATCGTACCCTCGAACCGACCCGAGCGTCTTAAGTCTTGAAGGTTAGTCAAGACCCGGACAAAATAACTATGAGTTTTACCACTAGTAGAAAAAACTAAATGGGAAGCGGTTCAAACCCCTTAATTGGAAGCGGTTTTGAACCGCTTCCTTTTGGGGGGCTTGCCATTGTATAATTAAATTGGAAGCGGTTCAAACTGCTTCCAATTTATGGAGAATTGGAAGCGGTTTTGGCCCAAACCGCTTCCAATTCCCAATTTTCACATGAAAAAAATGGAGAATTGGAAGCGGTTTTGGCGCCAAACCGCTTCCAATTCTCCATTTTTTTTTTATTATTAATATTATAATGTTATAAGTGACCTTTCACAATAATTTTAGTATTATTAATTTAATATTAATATTACAAACAATAATACAATGATATATATAACACGAAATAATTATATATATTAAAATTAACATCATTAATATGTTTCATGAACAATAATATTTAATTACACCAAAATATTAAACACACTTTGTAAAAATGGCAAACGTCCATGTTATTAAAGGGCAAAAAAAAAAAAAAAAAAAAAAAAAAAAAAAAACAGAAAGAGGAAGCCCAGGCAGGCTGCACAGCCAAGCCAGGCAGGCTGCACAATCAAGCCAGACAGTTGCACAGCAGCCCAGGCAGGCTGCACAGTAGCACAGCAGCTCAGGCAGGCTGCACAGCCAAGCCAAGCAGTTGCACAGTCAGCCTAGGTAGGCTGCACAGCCAGCCCAGTGGCCCTTGTTCTTGGTCGTGGTTCCTCTAGGTTATGAGGTTGCGGAGTTCCTCAAATAACTGAGCTTGGGTTGTGTTGTTCACCGTCATTTGTGCGTCTTGCTGTTGACGGAATAGCTCGAAACAACCTTCGATTTTCTGCTTCAAAAACAAAGCTGTTGTGATGGAACCACGTTGACGACCTCCTGTGTTAACAATATCAGCAACTCCTGATTTCATTGAGTCAGATTATTCGGGTTGGGTCAGATATACATCAAATAGAACTAAATTGAAGAGCATATAATCAACATAAACACAACTTGCATAGTTGCATTACATTACAAAATTCATGAAAATTAATGCATGATTATCAGTCCTTAATATACATATTACACCAATTATATGTATGTACACACAGTTGGTATAATATCAAGTGTCATGTGTCAATGCCTAAGTGGTATGTCGGAGTGTTGAGGATTTTGACACAGATACATAAGTCTTGAGGAGAAGGGAAGGGTCCGAGTATGATAAGGAGAAGGGAAGAGTTCGAGTATGAAAAGGAAAAAAGCTGTTAGAAATATAATATTTTGATTTGTTCTGTATTTGATGTTCCTGTTTCATTTGTCAGGGTTACATCTTGCAAGTGATGTAGGTCATTTATTTGGATGAAACTCTAGACATTTGACAGGAGTTGAGGATTCTGACACAAGACTATCAGCTCTTGGCAAATGGAATCTCAAATCGGATATACTAATGAAGATGACAAAAGAACCTCTTCATGTAATAAGTTTATCTTGATTCTCTTCTCTCCTGAATAATAGTCTTCAATTTTCTTAATAGTTGTGGACTTATGGTGACTGGTGTACGTTAAGGTTGCATACTGCACCAGCATAATGAACCCTAACACTGAACAAGCTAAATATGCAATTAAACTGTCAGGAACTTTAAAGGTAATTGATGCTTCCTTTTTCCTCTTGTTTCCCACAAACTCCTCTTTTTACTGATTTCTCCACTCCCTAGCAGGCTTCTTTTGTAATATGAGAGCATTTTACATGTAAAAGTAGGTAGCAGGTCAAGGATTAACTGTTTTACTCTTGCCACTGTAGGATTGACTATGTGGTTAAGACTTCACTAACTTTTTTTTTTTTTTTTTTTTTTTTTTTTTTTTTTTTTTTTTGTTTGCATAATCGTATGTTTAGAAAACATAAAACCAGAGATAAGGAGTTGCAAGAATATCCACATCGACAACATGACACACCTTAGCAGCTAATCTAGAAGCAGTACACAATTACAGCATAATAAATACCCATAATCAAAGATATACGTATATTAACAACAGCCAAATATCGAAATTCATAATTTGACTAATTTCTAGAGGTATTCACTCAAAATCCTTGTCAATCTATTGACAACAATTCTCTTGTTCAGATACAAAGAAGCACTTAGTTAAATCTCTTCTAATAAAGCTTCTAAAATATCAGTAACAGGGTAGGCAAGTTCAAAAAAAATTCAGCACTGATTCAGCAATATCATAATTGTTTAATTTACTCATAATTCTAAAATAAACCACCAGAGATACATGGCATATGTATCAAATAAAATAAACGAAACACAGTTACACAACTCCCTCACTGACCGTACTCTGCTCCTCACACACAGCGGCCTGTAATTTCAATTTAAGCAACAAGGCAACCTCCACACCAACACACAATCACTCCACACATTACAGCAGCTCCAATTCACAAGCAAGTGCGTTGTAACCCCCATAACCATATAAATTTACATCCAAAATTATTGATAGAATCACATTAGATACTACTACACTCACATAACCATTACAAACAAAATAGGGCACCAAATCCGCACAACAGAAACAAAATTCGCACACTTCAATATAAAAACCTAAAAATTAAACAGATTCAAGAATTAAACATAAAGGATTACCTCATTTCACTTGAGCCTCGATGATTTGTATTAAGGAGTACCTCACCCTTTAATCTCAATCCTCTACAAAGTACCACAAAATTAATCAAAAATTGAATGTTAAACATCAAGTTACAGAATATGAAAAGGAAAGCAAAATTAATTGTGAAATTTCACAAAAACTGAACGAAAAAGGAGATAAATTGCATAAATTGAATGAAAATTGTTTCAAAAAACCCTAGCCATCGATGGCGCGCAACTAACCTAACAACACCTAAGTGAAGCTAAGGCAATGGTGTAGTTGTTGTGGTGGGGTTAAGTGAAGCTAACAGCAATGGTGGTTGTGGTGGAGTGACGGTGTGAGAGTGAAAGAGGAAGCGAAGGAGGTAGTCAGGGAGCGCAATTGTGAGAAATGGAAGAGGGAAATGAGGGAGTTTAAATCCCGGTTTTTTTTTTAAAGATAGGGAAACGGTTTGAACCGCTTCTAATTACTTTTTATAAGCAGTTCAAACCAAACCGCTTCCAATTCTCCTCTTGTTTTTCTTTTTTTTCCCGGGTTTTTGTATGGAATTGGAAGCGGATTCCAATAACCGCTTCCAATTAGTGGCTTCCCATTACCTATTTTCTACTAGTGTACGAATCAAAGGTTTACTCTTTCTTAGAGTTGCCTTTTTAATTCCACTCAAGGTTGTTCATTTCCCAATACCCAAGCTTGGTATTTATAGGGAAATGATCCCTTGATATTTCATCCTCCACCAATGTGTGAGCGTTGAAAATCAATCATTTATTTAATTTCCAAATTAAATAAATAATCAAGTTAATCATATTGCGACAAGTGGCATCTTCTCATGTAAAGGAGTGGTGGCCAAGGTTAGGTGGGGACCATATGTCTTGCTCCCCAACGGCTTGACTTGGTCACCATACCCTTGAACAAATCGGGTTAAGGGAGGGCTAGCTGGCTGCCAGCTAGGGCTGCCAGCTAGCACTGCCCAGCACCCAGCCAGCCAGCCAGTGCGTGCTGCTGCTGGGCTGGTGCTAGTGCTTGCGTGCTGGCGCTCCTAGCACCTAGTGCTGGCACTGGCCCTAGCAGCCATTGTTAGCACAGCCAGCATGCGTGCTGCTAGCGAGCCACGCATGTTGGCCCTTCCCTCGCATCATCCTACGCACTATGCACCACGCAACGCTCGCACACGCATCAGCTAGTGCCTAGCACTGGTATGCTTGGTGCGAGGCACGCACACAAGCACACGCACATGCATGCGTGGTGCTGCTGCCTAGCAACTTAACATCCCCATTGCACGCACACACGCACCAGCCAACACGCATCATTGTTGCTGCTGTGCGAGGCTGCGAGGCGAGGCCGCAAGGCACACACGCACACACACGCAAGCCCCCGGCATTGCGATGGTGCTGTGCGTGGTGCTATGCCTTGCGATGGTGCCTGGCCTGGGCTGCATGCTGCGATAGCCTGCAACATGCACCCAGGCACCCACGCTAGCACGCTGCTAGCTGCGATGGGCTGCCTGGGGTTTGTGGTGCTTTGCGATAGGCTGCCATGCGCATGCCTAGGCTGGGATGGTGCACCTAGGCTGCGATGGTGCGCCTTGAGCTTGCGATGGTGCGCCTAGCCATGCTAGGTGCATGCTAGCTCGAACTAGCCTAGCATCCACATGGTTAGACCATTGTGGTGCTACGGCTACGCTCGTACTTGTCGCTTGTGATTTTGCGACGCTCGGTCTCGACGCCCTAGGCTTGATTTCCGACGTCTGTATTCGTAAAACTCTGCTGACTCATTAAATCCTTTCGGATTAATTCGTCGTCTCGGATCGGTGATTCGATTGGGTTCGACCCGAAGGGTTCAGTTAAGATTAAGTTGTAACATGAATTGTACATTGATATTACTGATCGGAAGCGGCCACCATCTAGGCATTCCGATCACTTGAACTTACTGAAGAATTAGCTCCGTAATAATTCTGAACCCTATATCGGAAGAATACACTTGTTGGAAGGACACCATTCCTTTCAATCTCCCACTTTTCCTTCCGGACAAGTGTGCATACAGTGCATAGCTCATTTCCTATGTCACTTAATGTTTCTTCGTGAACTATAAGGTAAGATTCTTTGTCATCCTTATTACGTTCATAAGTGTTTCTCGATATCCGAGTTCGACTGTTAATAAGCAGATGATTTCTAAAATCCATCTGAGCACTGCCATGCATTTTCACAGTCTCGCTCTTCGAGCGGCCTTGTAAACAACAAAAAAATTTCCCTATTGTTAGTAGGGGGACAATCCCAGTATTGTAAGTTCTTCTTACTAAGAGGACATAGTCTCCTAAGTGTTCCCGTTATGATCCCTAGTTACTACAGACGTTTGGAAACATCAAAGAGTCTAGTACTCAAACAAGAAAACTTCACAGTACTCTTGGTCGGAGGAAACAAGTTCCGATAGTCATAATGAGAAATGTACTTATGACAAAAATTTAAATTTTCTTAAAGTACTCTCATAGGTCTTATCCAGTACAGTTCCAAACTGTACCTGTGCAAATGATTTATGACCGTCACGTCCTCGCAGCACAAGAAACGGTGTTGTAAATCATACTACACACTAATCTATAGCGGTCATCAATCGTCCATCTGTTAGATGACCTCGATTAGGGACACTTTTCGATTTAATATTCAATGTTCGCTTAACAGGTGTTTGTTTATCCAAGACATGTTCTTGATACCCTATTTTGAATATTTCTGTAAATCAAATGGACTCATTTTTTAATTCTAAACCACAATTAAATATTAATGGAGTGAATGATAATTTTGCACAAAAATTAATTACTCCACTAATGAATGGTTTTAATACAGTGTCTTACATTAAATCAACCCGTTTAATTAAACCACAGGTACATGAAATTTTCAAAGCCAGTCTCCTACGTGCTTGATTCCCATTGCCTCAACGTGTTTGTTGTGCTTCACTTGAGGCAAAGGTTTAGTCAAAGGATCGGCTACATTATCATCCGTGCCGATCTTACAAATTCTAATTTCACCTTCGGATTTCCATTCCCTTATCATGTGAAATCGTCTTTGCACGTGTTTGACCTTCTGGTGTTCTCTCGGCTCCCTAGCCTGAGCAATAGCTCTAGTATTATCACAATAGAGGTCTATCGGCCCCTTGAGGGTACAACACCAAGTTCACTGATGAACTTGCGAATCCAAACAGCTTCCTTGGCTGCTTCTGAAGTGGTTAAGTACTCGGCTTCAGTTATAGAGTCTGCAGTGGTGCTTTGCTTGGCACTCTTCCAGCTAAACGCTCCTTCATTCAGACAGAATATGTACCCCGACTGTGACTTGAAGTCGTCTCTGTCAGTCTGGAACCCAGCATCGGTGTAACCTTCAACAACCAGTTCTTTGTGGCCTCCATACACCAGGAATTTATCCTTGTTCCTTTTCAGGTACTTAAGGATGTTCTTGGGCGCAGTCCAATGTGCCTCTCCTGTGTTCGATTGGTATCGACTCGTTGCACTCAAGGCATACGATACATCTGGCCTTGTACATATCATGGCATACATGATCGATCCGATTAGCGAAGCATATGGGATCTGATTCATTCTTTCTCGCTCAACAGGTGTCTGTGGACACTGTTTCTTGCTGAGAGTTACGCCATGGGACATGGGTAAATGCCCTCTTTTGGCATTCTCCATGTTGAATCGAGCTAGTACCTTATCAATGTAAGTACTCTAGCTTAATCCAATCATCTTCTTAGATCTATCCCTAAAGATCTTGATGCCCAATATGTATTGTGCCTCTCCTAAGTCCTTCATTGAAAAGCACTTTCCCAACCAGCCCTTTACGGACTCCAACAATTTTGTGTTGTTTCTAATGAGAAGTATGTCATCAACATACAGGACTAGGAATGCAATATCACTCCCACTGACCTTCTTGTATACACAAGACTCATCTGGATTCTTGATAAAACCAAACTTGCTAATGGCTTCATCAAATCGCAGATTCCAACTTCTACTGGCTTGCTTTAGTCCATAAATGGACTTCTTCAGCTTGCAAACCCTTCCAGCGTTGTTTGAATCGAAAAAACCTTTTGGCTGTGTCATATACACACTTTGTTCCAAAATTCCATTAAGGAAGGCGTTTTTGACATCCATTTTCCATATTTCATAATCGTAATATGCAGCAATCGCTAGGATGATCCAGACGGATTTTAGCATTGCAACTGGTGAAAAAGTTTCATCATAATCAATCCCGTGGATTTGTCTATAACCTTTTGCCACCAGTCTAGCTTTGTATATTGATACATTTCCATCGTTGTCTGTCTTCACTTTGAAGATCCATTTGCAACCAATGGGTGTATAACCCTCGGGCAAATTCTCCAAGTCCCAGACTTGATTTTCAGACATGAAGTCCATCTCGGATTTCATGGCCTCTTGCCATTTTGCAGAGTCAGGGCTCGTCATATCTTGCTTGTATGTCGCCGGCTCATCACCATCCATGACTAGGATGTCCTGATCATCGGTTAAGACGATACCGAGGTATTTGTCAGGTTGAGCTTTTTCATTGTCAGTTTGATTCTAACCAATCTTCTTAGATGCTTCCAAAGCATCTAGATTGTCAGTTTTGTTAGGTTGACATTGTTGCTTGTCCTCTCGAACTTTGTCGAGTTCGATTTTCCTCCCACTTGTCATTTTGGAAAGGTGATCCTTCTCCAAAAAGACACCATCACGAGCAACAAAAACTTTGTTCTCAGATTTACTGTAGAAGTAATACCCTTTGGTTTCTTTTGGTATCCCACAAAGAAACACTTATCCGATTTGGGGTGAAGTTTGTCCGAAATTAATCGCTTGACATATGCTTCGCATCCCCAAATCTTGAGAAAAAACAACCTAGGAGGTTTCTTAGTCCATAGTTCATATGGAGTCTTTTCAACAGCTTTTGACGGAGCTCTATTCAGTGTTAGTGCTGCAGTTTGTAGCGCATGTCCCCAGAAAGAGATAGGGAGTTCACTAAGACCCATCATTGATCGAACCATGTATAACAAGGTTCGATTCCTCCGTTCGGACACTCTGTTCCATTGAGGAGTTCTGGGAGGTGTCAACTCTGAAAGAATGCCATTTTCTTTCAAGTGATCGTCGAATTCATGGCTCAAATATTCGCCACCTCGATCCGATCGAAGTGCTTTGATTTTCTTGCCAAGTTGATTTTCAACTTCTTTCTGAAATTCTTTGAATTTCTCAAAGGATTCAGATTTATTTGACATTAAGTAGACATAGCCATATCTACTATAATCGTCGGTGAAAGTGATGAAATATCGGTAACCTTGTCTTGCGGGTGTGCTAATTGGTCCACATACATCCGTGTGTATTAGACCTAATAAGTCACTAGCCATTTCTCCCAACTTGGAGAATGACTGTTTTATCATCATGCCTAATAAGAATCCTTCGCAATTTTCAAACGACTCTAAGTCGAATGAGTCAAGAACACCTTCTTGAAGAAGTTTCTTGA